CATCAGAAATTCCCGACTTTATTGATCGGGCACACAAGGAGTCAAGCTCACACGCAGAAATAAGAGAGACAATGACCAAATTCAAAGAGATCTGCGCAGCACAGGACCCAAGAGATATTTCTGAAAACTTGCGACGAACGAAGAAGACGCTTGGGGACGATAGGGAGTAAAGAGTCTCAAAATGCAATGGGCAAGAAGTCAGACTTTAAGCCCAAAGCCCCAATGCTGAGTCAACTGTCAGAGAAGTGCCACCCAAATACAATCGAACTTACGTCATGGAGGGATCTCCAGCCAGCGCTGCAACAGCCGGAGACAGCATATCTTCAAGAACTGAACCCGTTAATCGAAACATTCTTACAAAGCAGCTCCAAAGAATCAAGCAAAACCTTTTGGAATGCAAGACATCAAACCATGCTACACGTCGAGACTCTCGGGGCGAGAAACCAGGCACCACAAAAGATGTCCATAACTCTGGCGCCTGCACACGCAATCGTACCCATCATCCGAGGACTGATCACCCGGGGGCAGCCAGGAGGGTGGCGCTTAGTAGGATACAAAAACATCGAGCAATTCATCCCCATGAGATTGGCAAGAGACCTCGAAGATGAAACCCACACGGCAACCTTCTTTGCAGTGAACGGCTGTACATTGAACGGAACATGCGCACGGGCTGAATGTCAAACAAAGGGAAGAATGATTCCGCTGTACGACAGACGTCAGGAAAACAAAGAACCAAAGATCCTCTTCTTCTGCAAAAGCTGTCAATTATTCACTTCCATCAAACCACCGGACTTCGACCCCCCAGATCAAATCAATCAATATCAGACCAGGGAGATAGAAATAGCATACCCGCTGGAGCCAGGAGAGATTCAGGTCTGGATCCAAAGATTATCCAACCGCAAGGCAGCAGGCATGGATTTGATCTCAAATGAGATCCTGAAAGCTCTACCTGATAGCGCAAAGGAGGAGATAGGGGAAGTAATCAGCAAAGCTTTGACAGGAGACAAAAAGATGTTGAATATGCTGGCAAGGGTCAGGCTCTTACCAAAAAATGAGCTCTGTCACGTCCTGGAGAACCAACGACCTATATGCGTCCTCTCCTCGGTGACGCGGATCTTCCAGGCGGTCATAGCGCACAGACTCGCGAAAGCAGCTGAAAAACATAAGCTGCTGACGAACA